ATTATCGTCTGTAGAAGTAGACAACTGTGGCCCTTCTGGTGTCTGTAGTCTACAGTTCCCATCAGCATAGTCTGTAGCCTACAATTCCTCCTCAGCATAGCCAATGATGAAAGATAATAGGAGCTGTAGTCCAAAAACTTGTGAAGGATCACAGGTCTGTTGCCATGATGTTTCAGGGTGGAACCTTCTCAGCCCACTGTGGAGATACCAGGGTTTTGAATCTGGTTACTTTTAGACGCATACCGTATACAATACAACTATGGTACAGCTCTTTTACTTTTTGCCAGGGTCATTGGATCCTGGCCACGGTTACCCTATATAACTCCTTGATTTTCTCATTTAGCAAAGACTGACTTTGGGAGAAGAATCGCTTCATAACCCCTACTCACAAAATTGAATCGGCATTGGTAAAGCAGCCATCGTGGAAGACAACCTCTGTTTTGCATGTGTTTATAGGTTCGATGATTACACAGGTCGGAAGAACATTATGGGGAAAGGGGTGGAAAATTGTTAATCATTATCTGACATTTGGAGGAGTGAGGAGAAATAAGGAGGTAGGATAGGAAGGACTATTTTTTGTGAGCTTAAAACCAAACAAATACATCTATTAACTAGGATTATTTTTTTCTATTGTAAAGATATTTGTCATATAATGGTTTGATGGTTAAGCAACGCAGATCATTTAATAAGGTCTGAGACTTTTAAAAACTCTTTTAAAAAATAAAATCACACTCTAATGTTTTAACAGTCTCATTAACATTAATAGAAATTGCATTTTAGTAACCAGGGCACCAAACGGATTATGTTGGGGAAATTTAAATAGTGAGTCCCACTTTTCCTGACTTGGTTAAATATGTTTGAGCTCCCAAGAAATATGAATGATCATAGTGCATGTGCTAAAAAAAACCTTTAGAAAATTGTGAATTGGTATAACATCAAATTACATTTGCCTGTTTATAAATTATACATTTAAAAGGAATGATTTGCAACTTCAAATTTGGTTTCTGGTTGGATTTCATTAACACTCATGGTTATGATTTGCTTTATTAATGCTGTAATTTAATGCTGTAAGCATTAAATAAATTATGTTGTATTTTACCTTGATGCTGCAGTATTTGTCAATCATTTGAGAAACAGGATAAAGGGCTAAACAGGTTTGATGAGGTTTGCTTACATGACGCATATACACATGTTAGCTACTCACATGCTGTGTAATCCAAAAGAAACATGGAGATTTCACTTCATGCTTTCAACAATTTTGGAAGTGAACAAGTTTAGTAATCCTATGGATAATAATTAGAGAGCTCTTCACTGACCCCTAGCCATGAATGACCCAGAAATATCCAAAAATGAACACTTTTTCACTAAGATTTTGCATCCAGTTCCTGTTAAAAATCTCATAACCAGGAAATTCCAGAAGAATAACATGTAGTACTGTTTAGTAGCGTGATGCACTTCCCTCAGTTGGAAGACAAGAGTTGTGTGTGCCACATAATGTCTCTTACCACTCCCTAAGGTGGAGTGGTTGGCACTCCTACGTCACCATCCTTGAAATAAAATTCAGCTGGCAGTTCAGTTCACTTCTTTACCTGGAATGGGGAGGGTTTTGTTCTTTGCCTCAGGCAGCAAGATGACTTGGACTATTTGATACAGTATTTCTGTAGAAACAGTAACAACTGAAATAAAATGCATCTTTTAAAATTAGTATGCAAAGGGATCTTGTACCAGATTAACTGTGCAAAAGAAGTTGTAGAATCAAGAGATTAGAATTTAAATTAGATTATTAGATTAGAGTTATTAGATTAGAATTTAAATTACGGTAGATTTAAATGAAAGAAGATCTGCTCTTCAAACCTATTTAATAATATCCATGTGATAATAATTAATCTTTGTAGAGCATTCCATATATCTTATCCCAGTAAGGCAGTATTTGCACTGCAGAATTAATCCAGTTTGACATCGCTTTAACTGCCACGGCTCAATGCTATGGAATTCTAGAGGAACTGTAGTTTTGTAAGGCATTTAGCTTTCTCTGTTGGAAAGCTCTGGTGCCATAACAAACTACAGTTCCAGAAGTCCATATAATTGAGCCATGACAGTTAAAGTGGTGTCAAACTGGATTATTTCTACAGCGTGGATGCAGCCTAAATCATACAAAAGATGTAGAGTAAATTCCTTCCTGCTAAATAACTTTGCAGAGAAACTGCAGAGAACAAGATGGTACTGCAGCCCTATTTCATCTACAGAAGCTGACAAAAGGGGCAACTGAATATTACTTCATCATTGGCAAAGGGCCGATATCTTCCATTGCATTAAAGGGCAGTAGATTTGATTTATGAGGGTAGTCTATGTGGCAGCTATAACTATATCCTCCAATGTTTTGTGTCAGTCTCAATCCTCAGCATCCGTTATCTGAGGCAGCCACCTGATATAGCTGATCCTGATTCAGGCTACTTACTAGCTTTAACATTTGATAATACAGTCCGCCCTCTGTAACCAGGTATTCTTTATCCATGGATTCAAGCATCTGTGGTTTGTGTATACGCACACACACACACACACACACACACACACACTAAAAAGCAAAGATAGATTTTGCCATTTTATGTAAGAGACATCATTTTACTATGCCATTGTATTTAATGGGACTTGAGCATTCATGAATATTGGTATCCACGGAGGGTCCTGGCTCCAAACCCCAGCGGATAACAAGGGTCCACTGTATTAAATGTTCATGGTTTTTGTCTTTGTGGAATACATTCTGAGGTAATCAGTTATTTTTCCTTGCCTTTATTATATAATGTTAGGTGGGAACTTTCAGGCTAGGTCATATTGCCTCTTTCCAAGTAATGCCGGTATATGAGAAAGTATATGAGAAAGTTGTCTGGTGACTGCTCACCAAGTGCTGCCATTATGTCCCACTCTGGTACAGGCACTTTCTTTTGCTCCCTTGTCCTTCATGGCATTCTGCTGCAAAGTCTGTTAAGCACATATATAGAGAAGGTTTGATAAGCCACCTTGAAAAGCACACTGCAACAAAGCAAGGGAATAAAGAGAGGGGGTGTATTTGAGATCACAGAGTGTCAAATGTCCACCAAATGGGAAAAGCAAACAAACCAGTCCACTTTGGGCTGCAAAAAACTCCTATTTTTGATCTTAAATGTAAGAGGGAGCTGCAACTTCTTTAAAATGTGAATTGTTGCTCCTCGAGGCTTTTAAGGGAGGTAATGCCTCCATTTTTTTGGCCAGAAAAAGAGGCAGTCCAGGGAGCCTATTGTGGGCTCCAAAATGAACACGGGG